CGCATGTGAAGACACGCACGGTCTTCAGTCTTCAGGCGTTTGCTGAACGGCTACCGACCGATTCATTCGGCAGAACATGACTAAAGAGGCAAACGAAGCGTCCTCGTCTGAAAGGCAGCCACCGATGATCACATCGCAGAGAACATACATTCTGCGAGACACAAAAAGGGCCACGACATCCTTCAGCAAATGCAATTGGCATTAAACATAAGAACAGTCCCAGATACGGCTAAACTCCTGCCTGGCGTATTTTTTTGTCGTATCCATGATGTTCTCTAAGCGAGCAAGTGTTAGACATTAGATGCATTTGTTAAAAATGGCAAACTGCTAGAAACGCCAATCACAATTGGCTCTGTTGGACAAACCGGTTGGGCATACGGCATTTACTTCAGCAAGTGGATTTCTCGTACTGGAACCGAAACACGGCGAACGTCTACTGTGAGGGCAGTATGCAAAATGGAGAACAACGTAGAGGCAAATTTCCTTTAGCAGAGAAACATTACTTTCTGCATTGCAGTAACTACTGTTTTATACAGGTAGAGTGTTGAAAAGAAGCTGCGAATACAGCGGACACACCAGAGACCTTCTACGTATGACAAACAATACGCCAAGGTTATGATTTTGAAAAAAAGAAAGTAAAACGAAATTTTACTTTAGATTGAGGTTTCAGTGAAACCACTCTCGATCCGTCTTCTTTCCATCGCATTGAATTGGCGAATTTTAATCATAAGGGTCAAATCAAACTGGTATATAGCCCGTCTCCTATTGAATAATTATTCGTGTCCAATTCTGCCGATGTAGTGCCTAATTGCCCTTCACTTTATTTGGATAACGGATAACATAAGATGCTCACCTCGTCGTTTACCCCTCCAGGTCCACGTCTTCCCGCACACTGCTACATTTACCTAGCAACTTTTTAAAAACTTTCTTGTGAATCACGCGTCGAGTGAAAATTTTATACATATTTTTTTATTGATCCCTCTTCGTGATTAACGAAAAACAGTACTGCTTGGTCTCGATTCGATTCTCACACTCCTCTCTGTCTCGTGCGATTTCTTCCACCCGCTTCCATTAGACTGTTTTAGCTCATCGTCACTCTGACAAGAGGTATTTCAACCGATCGCTTAGGTACACTCCGATATCCCTTAAAGCCCTTAGTAATCTGTCACTCATTGTCGTTTTGATTTTTTGAAAGTGATAAACCGTCCTGCTTTTCGGTGCATATATATTTTTGCTTCCTTCATCCCAGGCTTGTCCTTCTGGTGGAAATTTCTGGCGTCCTTCGTTCCACAGTGCGCTGATGCACTCCTATCAGTTCTTAATCCTCTACATTAATGTCCAAGTCTCGCAAACATATAGAGCTGTTGACCATACGGTGCTTACAACGTAGCTTTAACCGCAATTGATCATTTTCATTTTCAGGAATGCCAGCGTCCTGGACGCATTTACGACGCCTTCTAATGGGCGTGGATCAAAGGAGTAGTCCGAGACGATTACACACTCTAAACAGACATACTCAATGACATCTTCCATTTGAAAAATCATTGATGAAAATCTGATCTCTCAATCTGGTTGTGCGCATTCGATTTTCATCGAATCCTTTGTTTTCCCAGCTATGCCAAGTCCAATCTGCTTTCTTTTTCACTCCTGTAGCATGGCTTCAATTTCCTTCAATCTTCGTTTCCAACAGAAAGATGTCGTCAGCAAATCGAAGATGAATAAGTTATGTATCGTTGTTTGAAAATCCTCAATCTCATTTCATTTACGGAATACTGACTCAAGATATGCGCTGCGGTAAACAACTTGGGCGATATGGTGTCGTACGAACTGAAGAACTCTATTAGAAACCCTCATATCAACCGGACTTTCAAACAGCCGAATCTTCGTGTTGCAGGTGCATTGTACTTCTTATAGAATTGGGCCGAAATTTCTTCCATTACTTGCTCTTCAAAAGCACGGAACACTTTTCATGCTCCACCATTTCAAATGTCCTTCAATAGTGGAAAAAGATCATGTACAAGGGCAATCGATACTCATTACGCACTTGGAGGTGGCCGATTGTTGAAAAATTTCAGCAAACATTTAAATCGATTTAAAAACATTGTTCCTTAATGGATATCTTGGCAAAACTCTGAGAGATTTCTCTCTCTCTCAAAAAACTAAACTAAACTAGAAAGCCTCAAAATTTGACCAACGCAATTTCGTGAAATGAATACTTCACAAAATTATGCTACAGTATAGCCATCAGCAGTGGCGATGAATAAATAAGCAATTCATGTACATACTGGACAACAAGTCGAAATACGAAAAGAAACGGAGATAATTCATTATTTATTGTCTACTCTTTCCTAACCAGATACTGGACTGAACTGCATATTTTCCAAATGCTTGCTTCAACTGATTGCTACATGCCAACATTTGCGATTGAACTTGATATCTGATGCAAAAGTTGCTGGAGGAAGTCCAGCCTGCAACTCTGAAAAAAGAGCTCTTTAAACACGGAGTTGTGTACTCTTCCGTTAACGCATCACATCGCATCTGTCCACTTGTTAGAAACTACTTCAGTAGTCAGGCTACCGAGAGGGTTAGTGAACAGTCTTTATACAGTTTTATACATAATCTCTTCCACAAATCTACTTTCTATACGACGTTTCTAGTTGGAACTAATAAATGGTCACTGGAAAAAACATTAATTATAAAGATATGTTGCTTTACCACAGATATGAGGTCACAGGTTTAACATATTCCTCAACGACATATCGTTTTCTTACCCATGATACACACGGATGCTGTACACTTTCATTTTATCTCATAATGAAGTAAGCTAGCTTTACTGGATTTGAAAGAAAAAAGTCAACAAGCTTGATTCCACAGATTGGAACTTGGAAGGTGACGATTATTGAGTTTAAATCCTCTTAAGACTCTAAGACATAACTGCCGAGGTATTCCGTCACAGGGAGCCTGACAACGCAGAGCCAAGTGCTACAAAGGGTACGTAACAGCCAAGTGTAGCAGGAAAAACAAGCACTTGCCGTGAAGCCACACACTAACGACTAGCATGCACATTTTTTACGTAGGTTTTTTTGTACTACAAAAAAGTGGAATAATTTTGTTTATCTACCAGGCTGTCCAAACTTTTATTTACGTCTCAAACTTGCCGAGCCAACTTGATTTATCTTTGAGAGATTGGCCGGCATTCAGCACCGGGCAGTCGATCGAGTAAGCACAAAACTTCACGTTCAACGGGAAGCTGCCTGTTAGTTGCCAGACAGTCTCGTGTAGCTGTAGATCACGGTGAAATACATTTCTCGCTTTAAAGCAGAGAGGAAAACGTTTCTGTGAAAGCCTGCAAGACTAAGCAGCGCAGTGAAGATTTCGCAAAACAGCAGTATGTAACTTTTAAAGGAAATACGTACATGCCAAGCGTCTTACGTTCAGAGAAAACATGACGAAATTATTTAATAATCATGTTTCTTTGGAGGATTCAAAGACGACCTCCTCTCCTTCTGAACAGGAAATCCTATTTTTTCATAGGGTGATGAACCAAGAGCAGGCTGTCAATCATCTCTCGATGTCTGTACAAGAGGAACAGGATAACAAATTTGGTTTTTCAGCGAATATCGAGCGAGAATCGTGATGGCGCATCTTTTCTTTCCACCTGATCTATTAGCAGTGCCGAATACTTGACTGATGCTCAATGACGAAAATTTTTAGATTGCTTCCAATTAATGGGCTGATACATAAGCGCTTACATACAAATATATCGTCCGCGGAATCACTCTATGATGAGGGAGAAAATCAATCGCAGGAAAGATGACCGTGCGTAACTCACCGAGGAAACCTGCGAGCTGGCCAAGCTTCATATCGCAGTAATCCAGAACCCTATTGGGTAAGGGTGAAAGACAGTCCAAGAAACCTGAAAATCCAGGACAGTAGGCAGAATCTTCTGTCATGATCGGGCTGGAACCCGGGAGTTCTCGATTATGAGATGAACCCCTCCACCGACTTACAAACAAGAGGTATCCAGATTGTTTAGTAAACATATTTCAAATGGTTACAATTGAAAAGGAGGACGGCTCAAAACCAGTAATGGCTCTCGACAGTTCTGCGGTAGGCAGACGCTACAGTCACGAAACTGCATTCAGACGCTGCAACAGGACAAGTCTGTTACAAAGCGAAACAGGACAATACACTGCGAAGGACGAACGACTGTAGATGAGTGGTTGCTATTGATGATCCGGAGCCGCTGAAACAACTGCATGCTGTACAGCACGCTCAGATGTTGAAGGACATACAGATCGCCTGGGTGCATGACGCAACGACGATGACCGTGTATTCATGATGGCAGTGAGGAATTTGTCGCCGGCCTCTTAGAAGTTGCTGACTGTACCTCTGTCTGGCCAGCCCCGCACCCCAAAATGTAGACAACTGTCGCCGAGTCGATTAAACTCTGCTACTGGCTTGGGGCTGACCATTGAAAAAAAAAGTTTCTGCAAGGAGCGTCTTGCAGAAGCTCGGCTCGGCTGCTTCATTTCCTGCCCCGTTTATTTAATGGCCAAACGCGGCTCACTTTGCAACGGTCGTCGTCCGGCGGATGTGTACATGGCAGCTGGCGCTTATTCGAGTCGTTGAAAATAAGTTAATTTGCAGTTGACGATTTTCTTGTACTTTAGCGCGCCTTCCGAAGGACAGCAGGTTTTTGTCAAAGGCGCCCGTGAGTCGTGAGGAGTTGTGTGTCGCGCTGTGCCCCCTTCATCGTCGTGGTCGCCTGCCGGCAAGTCGTCGGTCGAATCGACACAAATTGATGGTAATGGCAATCAGCTGCCGCGCTGTCCTCGATGTCGGGGGCACATGCCGTCGTACTGCTACAGGACGACGACGGTGTTGACGCTTAGGAACACTCCCTGGAATACGCGCTAGTCATCAACGGCACGGAGCTGCACCGACCGTGCGACAGTCAACACACGGACACGCCAATCATGTGAACGTTTACGATCACATTACAACGCTTCTCGAATGTTGCGCCTGGACAAGCGTACAGGACCCGCTGGAGAGGGTGGTAAACAGCACAGAGATTTGTCACTCCGCGTCATACGCCAAGCCATATGTCATCGCCGGTCGAACCGAACCACACGTACTGAAGCGTCGGCAAGGAATCTCGAAGTCCAGAGGTTGTGTCATCCTCACCGACTGCCTCAACATCACCACCGCTTCGCCATCCGTTGGAGGGGGTACCCCAAGGACGTATGGAGGGGGCAGAGTCTAAGATTAACACAGAGCGTGGCTTTTGCCATAGAACTGGCTTTTCCGAATTCCTTATTAAAAGCACAGTAGTTTACGATGATTTTTGATGCAATGTTTCAGTTTTCTTTTTCAATCCTAGCCGAATTCACATGACGCCGTCGCAACGTCCCTTAGTCTCCTGCAGCCTAGGTCCATAGTGTTTTAGGTATTTTAGCACCTGCGAAAATAGGCACAAAATTAGCAATTTGTAGGGATGGATAAAAAATGTTCGAACATTAGGGGATATATATATCGCGATGCCTAAGTCCCCGATAGTACAATCTGATCTAATCAGACCAAAAACAAAAGTTTTCTACCAACGTGTCAGCCGTACAGCAACAGTAACAAAAAATCAAATGCAAAACATCGGTTACAGATTTATTAAACAGATTCAGTGAGATAATATAGTGGTAAAGATGTTTCCTACGGTCTGGTGCCACTGGCTAAGTTGCGTAATTTCTCCATCACGAGGCTGGTCTTACATTCGCAGTCAATCACTGACACATGACTGTAAACCAGTTCATTTATTCGAATAGATGGCCAACGAAACTGGAGTGTTCAGAGAATTTAATGCTGATTGCAAAGATGTAAATCTCTTCCTAATATAAATGCGCTTATAATTCATTGTGAACGATTTTCAAGGATTCCATGTTCCGCATAGAAATATTATTTAATAATTTACCGACGTTTCGGATCGTACTTCGAAAGATTACCTTAGCGGAGGGTATTTTTTATAAACATAGTGTTCACAAGTAGGAACGCAATGTCGTTGTAAAAATGGCTCTTGAAGATTAACCGAGTTTGTTTCAAAACGTCTAGAATATGTTGTACGACATCTGATCGCGGAGTAGGCCCGTAATTAGGAACTCTGCATTCCTACGAAGAATTCAAACAACCTTAAAACCGCAGGCATACTCACAGATAGAGGCATCGATTCGTTGCCTGCTTTAGAACACCATATAGAAGTGTTCGCTTTTCAACGCACCGTTAAAGACATCAATTATTGTTGCCTTAAGCCATGGATCAGGAAGCGAAGACGATTTACCGTAGTCATACCTATTTATAACATAACAGAATACCAGATAGTGTACTTGATATGTTAAATCTAAGAGTATGCGAATTTTTAATATGGTATTAACTCACATTAAACCAAACAGGAAAACCGCAAGAGTTAAAAATTCATTTGTTGTTTTTTATGAAATTCTTGAGAACTCATTCAGATATTTCAAAGAAGCGCAAAGCCACCTCATTGTTAAAAACAATTGTTCAGACGACATTTGCAGTCATTCTTAACGACAGAGTCCATCAGATTATCACGATACTCTACAAAGATGCTTCAGTTTCTTAATAGAAAAGTCAGGATTGATAGGCAGTAAATGGCACGTATTTGAAAACATATCAAAACGATTTTGAACTATAGGAAGAACTGCTGTGAAAATGCGAACAACCAGTCGACGTTGTGCTGGAAATTGCAGCACCTCATCTGGTATCTGAAAAGCATGGGAAGTCTT